TATGCTAATATAATTCAATCATGTATTAAATTACTTATAACAGTTGAATAATACATTTCAATCTGAGCTTCCTAGCAGGAGAAGCAAAAAAAAAAAAAAAGAAAAGATCTACCTCCTCCATGTATTCAGTTCTTCCTGCCGCCTTTGCTAGCTCTCTTCCCCTGCTCCCCCACTTTTTGTGGCAGTCCTAGGGCTTGAACTCAGGGCCTGGGCACTGTCTTTGAACTTTTGTGCTCTACCACTTTGAGCCACAGCACCTCCATTTCTGGCTTTTTGATAATTAATTGGAGATAAAAATCTTGTAGACTTTCTTACCCTGGCTGGCTTTGAACTTCCACATTCAGATCTCAGCCTCCTAAGTAACTAGGATTTTAGATGCGAGCCACCAACACCCAGCTTCTTTTCCCTTCTTAAAGTTCCTTCTTTTTATCCTTCCTTTTTTTTAGATCCACTGGGGACAGAAAGATCCTCCTCCCACCATTTGTTAGTTATTTATATCCCCCTTGCAGGGCAAAAATAGCATCCAGTTGAACAGCTACAGGACCAGCAACAGTGAAGCCTTGAAGGCCTCTCCCACACCATCTTCTGTCTCCTCAACCACAGAAAGAGCAGACATCAGAACTTCAGAACAGCAGATGACTTTTTTTTTTTTTGGTTGGTCGTGGGGTTTGAACTCAGGGCCCAGGCACTGTCCCTCAGCTCTTCAGCTCAAAGCTAGTGCTCTACCACTAGAGCCACAGCACCACTTTTGGTTTTTCTGGTGGTTACTTGGAGATAAGAGTCTCACAGATTTTCCTGCCCAGGCTGGCTTTGAACTGAGATCCTCAGATCTCAGCCTCCTGAGTAGCTAGGATTATAGGCGTGAGCCACCAGCGCTGGCAGGAGACAGCTTTGACACCCCTCCTCGGAGAAGTCAAGGCCAAGACTTCAGTGAGTACTTAGATGTGCATCCGTGCCTCTCAGGCCTGGTTCCTCCAGGGTCTGACATTTAACTTACTGAATCCTGAGGACAACCCTGAACAACAGGCCTTGTCCCCAATTTGCTGATTGGGAGACTAAGGCCAAGAAGCAGCAGCAATTTGTTCAGAGATCCTTGGCTCTCTTTTCCCCAAAGTACCAGACTCGGGGCAGGACTGGAAATCAAGGCTGAGAAGCTCAGACAGGCCCCAGCTTGGTCTGGGCAGATCAGAAAATGGAGACCAGTCCCCAGCAACCCATTCCCAGACTCTGTTGCCATGGCAATGGGCCTCCATTCGGAAAAATCTGCATTTTAATGGAGACATAATTAGACATAAAAGACTGGCTAGAAGGGACAGGACCCTCCGGGCCCACTCCCCACTTTCTTGGAAGCCAGAATCCCCCTCATTCCAGACCCCAGCGGCTCCTGCCCCTCCCCTCCCCAAGCCCTTTGGTGGTATGCTCTCCCCGGGCCATCCACTGGCAGAATGTCCAGTGATTACAGGGGGACACTGAGGAACAGAACACTGAAGGTGCTCATTCACAACCCCACACTCGCTTTGAGAACAAAGAGACTCAGGGACAGTGCCCAGGACCTGAGTTCAAGCCCTAGGACTGACAGGGGGAAAAAAGACCACTTTTGGCTCCCCCCTGCATCACTGTCTGTCCCCAGATCACCCACAAATGGGCTACAGAGTGGGCCCACAACAGTGCCCAGCCCACCTCATTCTTGCCAGAGTGGAAAGACACAATACAACACCGGCTGTGCTTAGTCTAATGTCTCCAAGAGCCAAGGGCACATCCTTTCTCCATTCTAATACTAATTTGTTAGCTCCATGCACCCCCCACAAAGGGAGCTTCAGTCAAGCCCCAGTTAACAGATGAGGAAACTGAGGCACTCTGCTCAGGAACTCTCTGGACTCAGCCCCCTCAGTGAGTGCCCGGCAGTAATATGCATCCTTTTCTAGAAAAAGACCTCACCTCCACCCTGGACAGTCCAGCCAGCCTGATGGCTCTGACTCAGCTTCCCCATTCCTGCCAGACCCAGGAGGGCTGTTCTGCCCTGAGCATGGAAGACCGCACGACAGGGTCATCAGGGAGACAAACCTGCAGTGCGGGCTGTGAAGACCCAAGGCCAGCCTAGACACTTGAGACCCCACAGTACAGAGACCAGGTTGCTGGCTAGAGAAAGCTAGCCTGTGGCGCCACCTAGTGGTTTACTCACCAAGTGGCACTGGCCCAGCAGTCATGGAGATCCTAGTCCCACGTTCTCCGCACCCCTCTTTAGAGAATTTCCCCTAATGACTGCCACTGGGTACACACAGCCCCAAGAGGCCCTGTTCCTAGGGGGGCCTTGGAATACACAGAACTCCTGTACTAGGGACCATGTGCTGGCCAGCCCAGAGCCAGAGAAGAACAGCTTGGCCCTTGGTCCTGCTAAGTCCAACTTGCCCATCCCTAACTTGCTGCCCCCTGGCATCCCAAATTCACCCTTCCTCCATCCTATTCATGCCTTGATGAAGTGCTTACTGTATGCAGCGCCCACTTGAAGCTAATAGTGGGGGGCAGCTGGGAAAACATACAGCAAACAACAAATACATGTGAGAAAACAAGGTGGCTATTTTAGGAGAGGAAACAGACACCTGTCTGGCCACATGACTGGGCCTCTCCCCCTCCCACAACCACTAGGACACAATGATAGAGTCTGACCCACCCTTGAGAGCATTCTGTGCCCATGTTACCCCCTCTCTGCACTGCTGTGTCACTGCAACGCTCTCCTGTCTGGACTGCTTCCCGCCTCACTCAGGGTCAGCCCCTTCTCATCTCCCCAGGCCCCATCTGGCACCAACACACACGGATGTACTGTCCTTTGTACCCAGACCACACGCTGTGGTGTCTCGATTCCCAGCTCTGGCCCCACTGGTGTGATCTCATTATTCCTTGGCCTCTGCACTGCTAGACCAGGTAAACTGCCTTTGCACTGATGCCTCACCTGGGCTCACAGGTAACTAAAATCAGGAAAACAGTTTGGCCTCCCTGCCTCCATTTTGCTCCTTTCTCCTCCAAGTCTCTCTCTTGCCATCACTGCCAGTTCCAGGAAGAATGTCTTTATGTCAAAGGACCTCAAGATGAGGATCAGCAGAGGCTGGCAAGACAGAGCGCCCCCTAGATGAGGCCAGTGACCTGGGATGGGGTCAAAGGGTCTCCTGGGAACCAGATTGGTCCTCTCCAGTGATGGCAGTGACAACTACTCCAGAGTTCTGTGGAGGGCTAGGAAGGTGGCTCAGTGGTGGAGCGCTTGCCTTGCATGCCTGAGGCCCCGGGTTCAATTCCTCAGCACCATATAAGGAAAAAGAATAAAGCCGGAAGTGGCGCCGTGGCTCAAGTGGTAGAGCGCTAGCCTTGAGCTGAAGAGCTGAGGGACAGCGCCCAGGCCCAGAGTTCAGGCCCCACGACCGGACCCAAAAAACAAAACAAAACAGAGCTCTGTGGAACCAGAACCAGAGTACCCCGAGCCTGGACTGCTGAACTCTGCACTCTCTCCCCTGCCCCCATTGTGAGGCTTGAACTCAGGGCCTGGGCACTATTCCTGAGCTTTTTTGCTCAAGGCTAGTGCTCTACCACTTTGAACCACAGCTCCACTTCTGGTTTTCTAATGGTGCATTGGAGATAGGAGTCTCATGGACTTTCCGACCCAGGGTTGGCTTTGAACCTCAATCTTCAGATCTCAGCCTCCTGGGTAGCTAGGGTAACACTTTCCTCTGATGTGATGTTTATTATTATGAATGTCTCCCTCCTGGGCTACTGATTTTCAGACTAAGTAGAACCAGCTGGGCCATCTCCAGGACCCTCACAGCGTCAGATACACAGAAAGCCTCAGACATGGTTTCTCAGTGAATTTTGTCGTGGTTCACTGACTGGATGGAGCTGCCTGGCTTCCGCCTGCCAGGTGCCAGACAGAGCAGCTGCCAGCCAGAACCCCTCCTCCTGCAGGAGGAGTCATTTCTAGGGCAAAGCTCTCAAACTTTTTCCATCTAGGAAACCTTTGCTCTCTTTAAAGACTCAAGTTCCCACCAGGCATGGTGGTATACGGCTCTAACCCCAGCAAGGTAGGAGGATGGAGGTCCTAGGACAAAGCAAAGACCCTATCTGAAAAGCTTACAGCAAAAGGACGGGGGTACTATGGCTCTGTAGTCTATCTACTGATAGTTACCATATTAAAACTAAAGCTGAGAAGCCTTCGTTTGTTTTCAGACACGTTCTTGCTACGCAGCTGGTCTTGAACTCGAAATCCTCGTGCCTCAACCTCTGCCTCCAAGGGCTTTTTTTTCCCCCTTGAAACAGCTCTCCATCTGCGCTAGCCTTGAGCTGGCATCCTTCCTCTATTTTTTTTTTAAATAAAAATATGTCACAGGGCTGGGAAGGTGACTCAGTGGTAGAGCGCTTGCCTTGCATGCCTGAGGCCCTGGGTTCGATTCCTCAGCACCACATAAGCAAAAAAGAAAAAAGCCGGAAGTGGCGCTGTGGCTCAAGTGGTAGAGCGCTAGCCTTGAGCTGAAGAGCTGAGGGACAGCGCCCAGGCCCAGAGTACAGGACCTACGACCGGACCCAAAAAAAAAAACAAAAACAGAAATAAGTCACATTGCCCCTTGGCAAAAGCCCTGGCAGCTGCGCTCCCAAGCCGCTCTCTGCGCCACACGTTGACGAATCCCCACCGAATCCTTAAGAACCAAGACCGCCGACCCCGGGCCTCGCCCCCTTCAGAGAGGCCAGCCCCCGGGCGGGCGCGGCTGTCTGCGGACGGCTTCCGGGAGGAGGCGTGACTTGACCCTCACGGAGGCGATTGGGTTGGGATTGGACAACGAACGTGTCCTTCTGCGCCTTAGGCCCGCCTCCCCCAGCCCCGCCCCTCCTGTCGCTCAAGAATAAGCCTACAACGCATGCGTCATGAGACCGGCCCCCTTCCTCCCTCTCCCCACCCCTCCCGCACGCCGGAACGGAGTGTTCCAGCTCCGGTTTCCACCGGGCGTGGAGCACCGCCGAGGCCGAAGGAAGTCGCGTGGGGCGCGCGGGCGGCGCTGGGCGCAGTCATGTCGGCCGCCTTGGTGCGGCGAGGCCTGGAGTTGCTGGCGGCGTCCGAAGGTGAGGAGGGTGCATCCGCGGGGCTGCGGGCCGAGGGCCCTGGGCGGGGAGGGGCCCGGGCCGCCCGCACAGCCCCCGAGGACGGGAGCCCCGCGCGTCCTCCGACTCGGCTCCGCTCCTCTCCCCCCTGCAGCCTCCGGAGCGGCGCCGGGCCAGGCCCGGCCGAGCGGGGCCCCGGCGAAGCGGGCCCGGAGGGCGAGAGCCAAGGCGAAGGCCACCCAGGCCCAGAAGCTGCGGAACTCGGCCAAGGGCAAGGCCCCCAAGTCGGCGATCGGTGCGTCCGGGTCGTTGCTAGAATGCCCACGAATGGAGCAGACAGATGTAGTCACGGGTATATCGGAGATAGCGGGGATGGGGCCGAGAGTTAGGTCAAGGCCCTCGTGGATCGAAGGCTTAGCGAATGGAGGAGGTCCAAGGACTGTTACTCCAGGAAGAGTAGACGGGAGCCTGATGTCTTTTAATTTGAAGGAAAGGCTAGCATAGTAAAGGTGGCATGTAATGAACAAGCATGTTGGGGATGTCTGGCCATCCTGTCACTGGGGTTGCTGCCATTTCTGCTGGACTGAGACTCGCCCGAGGCACAGAATTCCCTTTGGACTTGTCTGAGGCTCTGATGTCCAGCCCAGGGCCCTGCACGAGCAAGAGTGGGGAGAGGGATGGCCACAAAAGCAGACAACTGTGTGACCGCCACCTCATACCTGGGTTATTGTAAAGGCCTCCCAGTTGGTTTCCACCTTCTACATAGCCCTTCCCCTGCTAGTCTCCTTTTCTTCTTTTTTGATGGTATTGGACATTGTGCTCAAGACCTCATATTGGTTGACTTGTTTGCCTCCCATCTTTTCTCACTGGGGTCCACGAGTTCAGGAGTTCTTTCCCATCCTGCTTCCTGCTGAAAGCCTGGCACCTAGAGCAGTGCCTGACACGTAATTGTGCTCAGGACCGATTTGTTGAATACGTGAGAGCAGGGGACACTTTCAAGAAAGACCACTGTGGAGAGTGGATTTGGCCAAGAAGCCTCCAAACTGTTGCAGTAGTCAAGGAGGAGAGACAGTGGGATTTTGTCTGGGGCAGGGATCCAGAAGGTATCCAAGGAGTCCATCTGAAGTGACAGCCCTTCCTGTTACCCACAGCTGAGTACCAGAAGCGAGCACATCAAGACCACCTCAGAGCAAACCTGAAGTTTATGACAAGTGCAAGAAGCACTGTGGCGGAATCTGTTACGCAGCAGGTTTGTCTGTGGGTATGGGGCTAGAGGAAGGGACCTACCTAGGGATTCCCTGGAGCCATGGGAGCGGGTCCACCTGTTCCCTGAGCCCTCAGCCCTGCACCCCCAGGAGCCTCCCCATCTGTGCTTCTAGTAACTGGAAATGATGTGCCCTCTGCCACCTTCCCAGATACTGCACCAGAATCAGGGCCGCAAGGCTTGTGATCGACCCGTGGAGCAGAAGAAAAAGAAGAAGAAGAAGGCCGAGGGCACAGTGTTCACAGAGGAAGACTTCCAGAAGTTCCAGCTTGAGTACTTCGGCAGCTAGCTCCTGTGATGTTCACTGTGGGGGAGAGGCACCTAGAGTAACCTGGACTTCACTGCCCCTGCTGGCCTGGGCCATACTGTGTGGTTTATGGCCAGCCAATGGTGATGCAGGAATAGCCTGGCTCTAGGAAACCCAGAGCTGCAGCCCCTGGGAGATGGGACTGGAGCTAGCAAGCGGAACACCCTGGGGCAGATTTGCACTCAAGACAGGAGCTGACTGAAATGTAGAAGGCACCCTCTGCCCCAACCAAAAGGGACCCTTTCTATTTACTGTGAGGAAGGCTCGGTCCTGGCCCCCTGGGGCCATACTGCTGGAAGGAAGAAGGCTGCTGGGTGGGCTTCTGAGTTCTAGTAAATGTGGCGTTTTGACTGTGTGCTGCTGGTCTGACTTAAAGAAGGGTCTTCTGTTCCTTAGCACTGATCTGGGGATATGTTGGGTGCAGTTCATTAGAGGTGTCTTCTTCCCTGAGACATGGTTGCTAAGGCAACACCTATGGCCGAAGTGACACGGGAGCTTTGTTCAGAAAAGGGCCTTCATGGTCTGGGGAGGTTGGAGTGGAGCCGCCTCACCCTTTTTTCTCACGAGTATGGGGTCTCCATGGCACCACTACCCCGTAGCCCTCATGCTGGATCCTTCCTGTGTCACTTGAAGTAGGATCATAGATAAGGAGTCAAAAGAACCCTTAGTAAGCAGAATTCACACTCAGATCCATGCTGAAGCTGTGTTCTGCTGTGCCACTTTGTAAAAGGCACAGCAAAGAACAGGAGGCAGAAGCAGGGTAGATTTATGGAAGCAATGACGTGGACCAGTGCTTATCCTCAGCAATAAAAGGTCCTTTTCTCAACTCTCCCTGGGGCTTTTGTCTCCTCTAACCCATGGCCTGTCCAGGTCAGCAGCTCCTGAGGGACAGGCAAAGGGAAGAGGCAATTAGCCAACATGTCAGTTGGTCCTGATGCGGCTGGTGGGGCTGCATGTTCATCTGTGAGGGCTCACCCTACCTTCCCCCCCACCTTTCTGGTATCTTCCTGGCCGTTGTGTTCTATCCTGAGTGGGGAACAGTGGAGGGACCCATAGGTCTGGCCTCCAGATTTCATGAGTGATCCATCAGAAGCATTGCTGTCTGTCCAGGTTGTGCAGATGGGACAGAAGGGAGAATGCCACACCTACTGACCCCATTCTTTGGGACCTCCCTCAAGTGGGCTGCTGGGGGGTGGGAAGCAGCAGCACAAGTTGACCTTCGAACCCTCCAGTTCCCAGCTCCTGCCTGCAGCCCTAGGCTCAGGTGTCCTTGAGGACTCTGAGCAGCTTAGCAGATCAGCTCAGCTCAACTCATTACAGGATTAAAAAAGTCTCCAGGCCCCTAACAAGGACATTTCTGTTGTCACAATCCCCGTTCCTCCTGAGGAAAGGTACAAGCATGAGTCTGGACCCTCCAGCCTTGGAAGCCTTTGGTCCAGCTGCAGGTGCTAAAGACAGCTCCGCTGGTCCAGTAGGCCAACCAAGCTCCTTAGTTCCTCTGCCAAATGAGGGACAGCCACTGTCCACTTCCAGAGCTCCCTTCCTGTCACCACTCCAAGCCCAGGCTAGCCTGGGCCATTTGTCCCTCTGCCAAGCAGGCTAGTGGCATGGTACATAAAAGGACTTGGGAGTGAAGCAGAACGTTGACAGCTACCAAGCTTGAAGCTGCATGCAAGTGAAAGCTCTTGAGAAACCTTATTGAAACTTAATGTCGCACCCCACCCAAGCAGAGCAGTGGTCTTGCCCTAGTCAGGAAAACACTGGTGGCATGCATCATCTCAGCACTCAGGTTCAGGAAAAATAGATTGTTATTGAATGCTTGACAGGTCCCAATAAATCTTTGTCAATGTTTGCCCATGTATAAACTTGAATTTAAAGGCAGCAAAGCCTGAGGGCTGCTGTGGAACTGTACATGTTGCCATCTGACCTGCAAAGGAAGGGTTTTGGGCCCCAGCAGAACTGTAAGCTTAGGCAAACATAATCTTGAGGAATGTGACCTTGGCTGGGTACTTTCCACAGCAAATGTTGGCACAAAGCCAGCCAACTCTGCAGGCGGTACTGAGGCAGTTTTATAGCACCCACCTGACAACCTACTTAGCCACCCTTTATTTCAGGTCATACACCATTGAGCATTGGTCGGTCCCTCCCCCAAAGACAAGGCTGCAGGTTGGTCACAAACTGGAGGCTGTGCCTTGGAGTGAGGTTGGTAAGGAACACAATAGGTCTGTTGGTAAGTTTCACTACAAAATAATTTATTAACAGCTTCAGCACAAGATCCCTATGTACAAGCAATGCAGCACTCCTGACTACCCTACTGGGGGGCCTTTTTCTTCCCCCTTGCCTTCCGGACCTCTTCTATCAGATCTTTAAGGTACTGTATTTCCTTGGCTAGAGAATCTGCCTTTTCCTTCAGAGCCTCATTCTTCTTTTCTAGTTCTTTACACTCACCAGCAAGGGCTTCCTGCTCTGCCCTCTTTTTCTGGCGGTACCTAGTGGCTGCTGTCTTGTTTTGTTCCATTTTCTTCAGCTTCTTATCCAGCTTATCAACCCTGACTCTTGCAGTTTCCCCAGGAGGGTCATAGGGTTTGGAGCGGACAGACACACAGGATACACCTGGAGACTGCAGACGATTTGGAGAGCCCCTGGAGACAGAGGGGCTGTGTTGGGGAGAGCCCGAGTAGGACTCCGGGCTCATACAGATGCCACTGTCATTATCTGAGGGAGAGTCTTCCTCTTTTACATACTGGGGGACCGTGGTAATATAAGTAGTGGAGTCAGACTTCCTGTCTCCTTCAGATATATCCACTTCACTGCCTAGATCTAAGCTAAAGGAATGATCTGGAGTAGATGATAGAGAAAGAGGTTGTAAGAAGGTGAAGGGAGCAACCTGGTCGGTTTTTACATTTTCTGGGAGATGGCCAATTGGGTTCACTGTCTGGGGGGGCTCCTTGTTCTCTTGGACTATGGGAAAGAGATCACACGCGTCATCCAACGTGGCCAAAAGCTCATCAGGCATGGTTTCCATTTCCAGGTCATCGAAACGAAACAGGGCATCAAAGTCGAACTCCTTCAGATCCATTTTCTCCAACATCCAATCTGTCCCAGAGAAGGCATCCTCTACAAAAGATTTGACAATTAGTCGATTAAACCAGACCCACTAAGTGGCCAAACCCGCGGTGCGCAAACCCACGCAAAAACTCACCCTTGCCGGTATCTGAGGCATTGACCAACCCATCCACAGCCAGCCATTCGGAGGAGCCCGCCTTTGCCTTGTCGCCGGAGAACCCATGAGGTTTGAAGTGCTTGGCCACCTCCAGGTAGTCATCTAAAAGGCCCAGACTGACTTCAGCCCCCAAACCCGACTGGTCGAAGGGGGACATCAAGTCCCCCACCAACACCTCGCTGCTCTGGTAGCTCATCTCCATCTCGGTCATGATGCGGGGCTTTGCTGGAATCGAGGAATGTGCTTGATTCGAAGGTGTCTTTGTCGGTTACAGCAACGCTGCTGCTGGATGCCGTGAAAAGCCTGAATAGGAACCAAAAGGCCATTCCCGTCAGAGGAAAACTCTAGACCGAACTCCATCTTTTCTCCCCAGACGTGAGAAGGCCAGATGGTAAACCCAGGGTGGGGAGCACACGGCCGCAGGGCCATTGTGCCGACTTCCCCCGCCGGCTCCAAGGCACAAAATGGAGACTCCGCCATTCCCGGACGGGCCGCCCAGAGGAAGGCGCTCGTGCTCGCACCAAATACGGCCGTGACCGCTGCGCCCCGCCCCGCCCCGCCGCCGTGACTC